TCTCAATAAGTCTCAGAAAGTCTCAATAAGTCTCAAAAAGTCTCAATGAGTCTCAAAAAGTCTCAATGAGTCTCAAAAAGTCTCAATGAGTCTCAATAAGTCTCAAAAAATCTCAATAAGTCTCAATAAGTCTCAAAAAGTCTCAAAAAGTCTCAATGAGTCTCAATCAGTCTCAATAAGTCTCAAAAAATCTCAAAAAGTCTCAATGAGTCTCAATAAGTCTCAAAAAGTCTCAATAAGTCTCAATAAGTCTCAATGAGTCTCAAAAAGTCTCAGTAAGTCTCAAAAAGTCTCAAAAAGTCTCAATGAGTCTCAATAAGTCTCAGAAAGTCTCAATAAGTCTCAATAAGTCTCAATAAGTCTCAATGAGTCTCATTGAGTCTCAAAAAGTCTCAGAACGGTGAATTTACGGCCGTATACGGCTGTTCCTGGTCGCTGTAATGCTCGTTCTGGGCACTGTATACGGCCACCGTATACGGCGATTTATGGTCTTATACGGCCGTATACGATATAGTTACGGCCGTGAAGGGTAGCGTATACGGCCTTATCAATCATACTTGGGGCCGTGTCCAGTTATGAATACGGCCGTAAACGACCGCCGTATTACGCCGTATACGACACGGCGAAATACGGTCGGAATACGGTCCCGGGAAATACGGCGCAGTTACGGCCGTTTCTGGTCATTGTAATGCTCGACCTGGGTGTTTAACTCTCTTGTCCTAGTTTTCATTTTCTTCTTTTCTATATTAGGATCCAAAACTATATGTTGAAGCAATAATTGATACTCATAAGAAATGCTCAAAAATTTTTAATGCTGGACCAATTTTTAAAGCTGTCTTTGATAAAGTAAATGTTTATATCTGAATTACCGTCTATTGTTGAAATAATATAGGCATGTGATAAATTTATAAATAATAATGCGATAACGGAAAAAGCTGGTACAAGAATAAAATTACCTGAATTCTTAGCTCGATATTGTAATACACTTTTGAAAAAAAGGTTTATTTTATTTAACTTAAATCTATTAAAATGGATGAATTGATTTTTTGTCTAGAAATAAAACTATGGAAGAGATTAATCTTGGCAAAACATTCAATGAAATATTGGTAGTAGATAAATTATTCTTTTCAATAATCTTATTATGTTTTCTTTTTAGATCGTTTTTAATTATATCGAAGATAAAGATGTTTATGAAAAATTCTATGGTAAAATGATAGCAAAACGTTTAGTTGATCAATTTAAATATTTCTAATGATGATGAAAAATTAATAATATCGAAATTTAAAGTATATAACCTATCTATGTCGATTTTTAATCATTATTTTACCTTATTTTCACAGCAAACGTTTGGTTTTGAATATACATCGAAATTCGAACGAATGATTTAAGATATTGATATTAGTAAAACTTTAATTGGTGAATATCGAATGGGTTGCAAAAATAAAGATATCCAAGGCACTGGTAAGATATATTCTTTAAATATATTGAAAGAAAAATTTCTCCTATTTCCTTTAGCCAATTTTTCTGTAATGGTGTTGAGATCGAATTCATAGTGATTCTTACCTCTACCAAATATTATTTTACAGATTGAAGTAACTATTATTTATCACTTTTTCATAAATAATTTTTTCTTTTAAGCTGAAAGCAACATTTGATAGTTTTAAAGATTTTTATACTCATCATCATAATGGTCGAAAATTAATTTTGCTTGATCAATATTCAAAAGGCGAAGTACAAACATGTTTTACTATACAGAAATATACATTGCAAGTAAGCATTAATTATTTTAAAATTTTCAATAGAATTAATAATTTAAAAGGTATCAATATATCAAATGATTGCTTTATTATTATTTAATGAAGAATTAAATTGGACAGTTGAACAAATACAAAATAAAATACACATTCAAACTGAATTATTACTTCAAGTTCTTGTTAGTTTATTGAAAAGTAAAATATTATTTTCGAAAGAAATTACTGAAGATTTTCAAGATAGTAATATTAAAATGAATCATAAAATTGAATTAACGAAAGATTTTATAAGGTAAAATCGTTTAATTTTATATTAATATTTAAAATTCTTTTTTTTGGCTTTAATGAAAACCTCCGAATAAATCTGAATGTAGAATTAAAATCAACCAAACAAAAAGATTTGAAATATTTAAACGAATTGATCGATGAAGATCATAAATTAGTTATTCAAGTAAGAAAAAAATAAACTATATGTTTTATCAACTTTGATTTTTTTCAGGCAGCTATTGTTCGAATAATGAAACAACGACAAAATTTAAAATATTCATTATAAATACAAGAAATCATTGAACAATTCACTTTACGTTTTAAACCGAAAGTTTCGTTAATTAAGGTAAAACTATTTCATGGAGTATGAAAACAATATTTTTATAATCCAAATCTATTTTATAGAAATGTATTGATATTATTAATTGAAAAAGAATATCTGCAACGAAATCTTAATGATAAAGATATTTTACATTATTTAAATTAAGATATATTAATTGTTTTTAATCAAGAAATTAATTTTTACTGTTCATTATGACAGATGTTTTACATTTCTTTGCTTTTTTATTCTTATAGAATGTTATTGTTTTTAAACAAGATCTTATAAAAAATATTGTTTATTTGAATAGGAAGAAATCTAAGATTCTACTATTCATGTGAACATTGTTATTATTGAAATTCTAAATATTGTATTTTTTTGTTCTTTCGCAGAAATCCAAGAATAGAATTTTTTCATAAAATACATCTAATTTTTTTTTTTTCATAATTTTCGATCAATATATTTGATCTTATACTAATATTGATTATTTCAACTTACCAAACAATTATAAAAACTTTATGTGATAAATATAGACATATTTGTGCTTGTATTATCACGAAGATAGCGTGTGGCTGTATAACTTCTGTTGAACTATCCACTCTCTACCACACTCACACCCTAACTTCGAAGAATTTGACCGATCTCGGCTATATCAATATTGCGTCCGCACCTCACCCTGCTATGAGTGCCGAAGCATGGCGCTGCGCAAACATATTGGAAAATCAATTCAATCAGATCGATCAGAAGATTTTCACTGTCACGATACATTTCATATACTGTTGATTTATAAAAACTTCTTTTCATGTATCGAAAAATGGAATCTGCCTTGTTTAATAGTCAATGAAGAGAAAATTTAACTCTTGAATAAAAGTGATAATGGCAGTTTTATTGTCTCTTTTACATTTCATAGCATCGAGTTAGTCTATCTGCTCGTGAACTATGAAGTTATTTTCTTGAATCCAAATCATTCGTTGTTAAAACATTCACTTTCAGTTCTAGTTGTCGTTTGTCGGATAAATTTAATTTAATATCTTCTGTAATTGTCAATGAACGATTAGTCAAATTGACTCGATATATGTAATAGGTAGTAGGATTTTTTAATATTTCTACAACTTCTTGTATTGATACTGAAAACTGATAATTATCAACAGGTTTTGATGTTGTTTTCACTTCGATTTGATGAGGTTTTTCAGATTCATCAATAAAATTAATTTTAATATCGTAAGACAATCCTATTTCACTAGTTTCATTTAGCCATTCTATTGATACATTTTCATTATTATGATACAAATCTGTAAGATATTTAAAAATCAATTCTTCACGTTTGCGTCCTATTTTTAGAAGATATTCTTCGTCTACTTCTTCGTTTAAATTCTGTACTATATCATCCTCATCCGATATCATTAGATTACTGAGATTGATATGCTTGAAGTGGACTATATTTTGTTTCTTCGGTATGAAATTCGAAATAAAACCTAAAAAAATACATACATATCAAACTCGAAAATTGAATCGAATTATTCAATGATTGTTGACACGAAAGATAGACACATCTGACAAGTATTGGATGCATCTCGCTCAATAATTGAATTCAACCTTCAAGTCTGACACTATTGAACAGAGTGAAAGATAGAAAAGAAAAACCAAGAATTGTTTAATCGAAATATTAAAGTTTACGTGTTTTCAGAGAAAGTGAGTCACATGCCCCAACTATCGGACTATTTCTTTACATGCGTGACAAAATACAAGAAGAAGAAAGCGCAGTTGAATAAAAAAAATTACCTGGCTGTTGATGTTCTTTTCGTATAGTCATTGTCGATGAATCATTCTTGTTTACTTTGTCATCTATTGTTAATTTATTTGTTTCATCATGCACATGGATATCATAACTCGAACTATTCGTATTAGATTGTGGATAAGTTTGTTTATGTTTCAATTTCGATTTTGGTATTACAATTTTTTCTTTATTCAATATTTGATCAACTCGTGTTAGATCACTATGAATATCAACCTTTGTATCATCATTATTGATATCTTCTATGACATTATTTTCATCTTGTTCTTCATTATCTATATTTATTATTCATACTGGTTTCGATTCATCATTGTCATCCGTAGTATTTTGTTTTAATTAATCTTTAGAATAAGCTGCTAATAACTTTCTATAATATTTATCTAATTTATCTCGTTTATATTGACATTCTATAACAGTATCATTAATAATAAATTGTATCATTGTATTAATACTTTGTGAATAATGATGTATCTTTAATAAATAAAATTTTTTAAACTTTTGATGAAGATAAAAGTGATAGATATGATCAAATGATTTATAATTATATCCAAACGTTACTTCAATACTATCAACGATGAAAAATTTCATTTGTAAAACTATGTCATTTAATTTTCGTTTATTATATAATCCATCAAACAAGTCTGTTTCATTGTATAAATAATTGGAAACAAATGGTAAAGTTTGTGTATAAAATTGTTTTAAAACATCGGATTGTTTTGCGTTTGTAACATTTACATTTGATTTCAATACTTCAGATAAATTTTTACATTGAAGCTTATCAAGGAATTTTCGTTCGTGCATTGTCAAACTAGATTCTAGATGAACGAAAAACAAAAATTTAATGATAAATATATCTATAGATGTTATAATATTAAAGAGTATACCAGGTAATTTAATGATGGATAATGATTCTGATTCAAACAATTGTGCCACATTTTTGTCATCGGGAATATATGGTTTATCATCAAGTTTTATCCATCCGAATTGTGTCATACTTGGTATAAGAGACTGATGTTTGAATAATTCTAAGAGAGTAAAAAAGAAATAAAACTCTTAGTTACATATCGGAATGTATGCTATAGAACTCTTACTCATGACACTATCATTGCCAAATCTTAAAATATACGTGTTTACTCAGCATTATTGCTGCTTACATATGCATGAGTTATCATAACATGACGAATAGTTTCCTAGGGTGTGGGTGTGGGTGTTGTCTTCTCTTCATTCACACCCACACTCGAAACACGGTGATCCTATTTCTATAGTACATGAGAAGATTTTAGTGAATATCGCTTTCGATTTATGACGCA